CGATCAAATTAATATATATTTTTCCATCGAAAATTATGTTCATATTTTTTTATTTATATTTTAACGTCCATTGAAACATACGTGAATTGAAAGTTTTTATTATTGGTAAATGTATTTTTTTTCTAGATGGAGTCGAACATGATGATTTTCATACATCACGGGGATGAATGATCATGAATGATCGGTGATTGAACTCGGGTTGACCAATCAATCATCGGTGATTGAACTAAAATATCAACGAATTATGTGGTATATTTTGTACATTTTATTATCAAACTGTGGGACCTATATCATTTACCCACTCACATGTACCCAATAATTATATGTCACGTCACCATTACACATCACACCATTCCACACACCCTCTCTCTTTCTCTCTCACACAGTACACGCACCTGCACAGTTACCCACAGATATACATACACGGCCATCATCTCTCTCTCTCCCTTCCACCGGCGTGAAAGGGAGCACCACCCGTCTCCATCGCCCAGCCACCAGACACAACAGAAGCCAGCGTTCAATCGTCTCATCTGCCGCGGCCGCATCTGTTCGCCGACGCCGACCTCCACACCGGAGCCGCCACCCAGTGTCATATACAGCAGATCTCCTCGATCGCTTTCCGAGTTATCCGTCTGCCACAAGCCCGCTGCAGCGCCAAACAAGCGTCGTCGGTCCGTCTAATTTTAGTCGTGGAGGTTGGCCGCGCCGCGTGACATAATGTCCACTGGTTGCTGCTGCGAGAAACGATATCGATGAGCTGCTGCGTCGCTATTCCCTTATGTTTGTGCGACTAGCAGGGCCGTCTCCAGAAATTTGGAGGCCCCAGACAAGTTTGTCCTTTTCGAATTTTCAAATTTGAACTTGTGTGGTAATTAGGGCTATTTATTGAATCATAGAAGAAAAAAAACTTAATTAAGCAAGACTATTAAATAAATAAATAAATAATTGAAAAAAAGTGATTTTTCTTGTTTTTCTAGACCTTGGAATTGATATATTACCTATGGATTACAAAGGTCTTTAATAAATTATAGTCAAGCAGACAACAAGGAGAAGAAAATAAAAATCATACCACTGCAAATAATATTTATTCTCACACAATTATTTTGACCGAACATCATAAGAAAACAAATGAAAAATTTAGGGCCTCAGTTCCCACACAAAGTACATATTTTGCCATTAGCCCATTCATTAATTAGCCACTTCATTTGTAGAATGGGCCAAGTCTATATATGGGCCAAGTCATTTGTATAATGGGCAAGTCTATAATTAGCCACTTCATTTACATAATGGGTCAAGTCATTTCATATATGCAAATATGCCAAACTTAAATGCAAATATATAATATTGAAAAAAAAAAATGGGGTCCCAAATATATGGGGAGGACCTATGTAGGGCCTAGGCTGCCTCCCCAAAGAGCCGGCCCTGGTGACTAGCTGCCTTCGCGCGCAAGTTCGATATTATCGGCAGACGGTGATCGGGTTATGCGGAAGGCTCTGGTGGCACCTCGATCCCGCCGTTCAACTTCCACATATACAAATCAGCTCCGACATCGAGCGCCTCCGGAAATGGACTGTCCAACACGGCGGTGGGTGGTGGTGTCGTGGGTGGAGGGATGACGGGGGTGTGGTGGTTGAAGGGGCAGAAACATTAATTTGAGGTTAGGGCTTTTTTTAATGAGAATTAGATATATTATAGAGACCTATTTATAATTTTAAAAAATTTAATATAATTCCATTTAATTAATGCTAAAATCTATGATTTACCAAAACAATATAATAAATACACAATAATACTGATTAAACTGAACAATATTGTGTACGAATATGCACTTTAAAATTAATCGCGATACATAATATTAATATTATGTAAAATGCACGTTAATGTCTTTCATAATGCATATTAACATAAATGTATATAATGCACAATGACCACATGTGTATATATATATAAACACTATTACGATATTGTGCATTCTCATAGATATGATGGTGTATTTAATTTATCGATGTTGTGCATTTTGTAGTGCGGATAGGGGTGTGCAAGTTCGGCCAAAATTGAAAAGACAATCGAAGCCGACCGGAATAAAACTTTGGGTTCGAGTATTTGTATATCAGTTCGGTTATCGGTTATTTTACTTTTAAAATTTCGATTATTTGTTTTGGTATGGACTTTATTTTTTAAAATAATTAAAATAATGTTTATAAGAATGCAATTTAGCATATCGCAAATGACTAAAATAGACATGCATTAAAAAAAATCAAAATTTCACATATACATCGGTTACTACGCACCTTGGAAAATGTGTATTAGCACAACAATGTATTCCGTACAGTTACACCATGTGAAAAAAAATAAAAAATATACTTTTATGCTATTGTGCATTTATGGATGTATTATTGTGCATTTAATTTGTCGTTATTGTGCATTTTATAACGAAGATAAGAGTGCAATATTTCTACTAAACTGAAAAAACCGTCCAAAACTGACCATANTTTATATGTCAATTCGATTGTCGATTTCTCACATTAAAATTTTCGATTTATGTAAATATTATATTTATTTTCAAATAAATAAAATATAATATATTAAATAAAAATATTAAAATACTATTTTTTCTATGATATAAATGACAATTTATTTAAGGTATTTTGGTTAATTCAGTTCGGGTCTAATTTGGTTTGGATAAAAATAATTAGTCGATTCAGTTTTTAAAACGTTTGACTCGTTATTTAAAATTTGACATTTAAGTCGGTCGGTTTTGACCGAACCGACCGATGAAAACCCTAAGTTGCTCGGTGGCCTTTTGGTAAATTTTGGTAAATTATGAACAGATTGATGAAAAAACTCTGTAATTTAATAAAATTAAAACGGAATTTCAAATGTGCATGTTCTCACACAACATTGTGCACTTTATGTTTCATTATAGTGCAAGTATTTAACTCTTATTAAATTACAAAATTGCCACAAGTACTAAATTGTAATATACTAAAATTTATGAATTTGCAGTTAGAACCCTCCAACTTGTCAAATTTTCAAACAAACAACCCCCACCAAAAAATTGTTCTCGGCTGTCATGGACGCTGCCTCTGCAGATAGCCTGGCCATCTCTCCCCACCGGCGACTACGGCCGATTTGATTTACAGTGCATTGGCATGGACACTCGCACAGCCGACCTCTCTGCACTCTTTTCCTACCCCACGCGGTCGTCCCCCTGTCGGCTCGCCTGACCTCGAATTCATCTTCTCGAAGCCCAGCGCCGTCGTGTGCAGCGACGACTTTTAGCCGTAGCACGCTTATTCACCCTCCGGTTCCAGCGCCACAGAGTACAAAGGGTATTGTCCACAACCTCGGTGCCTATTCACCCTCTCGCGCTGGATGTGAATGTCGGGGGCTGCGTCGCGGTGGTCTGCGATGGTCGGATATATCGAGTGAAGAGGTGGCGGTACTGCGGCAGCTCACGGCGTTTTCCGTCCCGTGAAGAGTGTGTGTAATGTGTGATTTGTGTGTGTGAGGAGAGAGAGTGAGTTGGACAGGTTGGCATGTCAATTGTGATTGAGTGGTGGTGGGTCCCACATGTGATGGGATTGTGTCAAATTACCAATGTAACCTTGATGAGTGTGCAAATACATATATTTGACCATGAGATGTCCATTTATTTACGAAATTGTCACAACAGATTTGACTGACATTAATAAACTTTGATTTGATCATGACCATTGATATGATGAAACCAATGATGTAGATCTATTCTTTCACTATGTATTTTCTCATATGACCCCTTCTCTATATATATATTCATGAAATGAGAGTTAATGATGTAAATAAAAAAATTTCATCAAAATTTCTTAATATATATAGAAAGTTAAATTTTATCTTTTCTTTTTAAAAAAATGTGTTAACTAATATTTGACTAATATGTCCGCATCTCTCAAACATCAACATATTTAACTAATAGTTGACTAAATATTTAAAAAAATGTGTTAACTAATATTTAACTAATAGTTGACTATATGTCCCTGCTACTACCCTATAAGTTTAACTAATATTTAATTAGTTAAATACAAATGACGAATCGACATTCATCCGCATCTCTCAAACATCAACCCAATATCCTTCTCGCACCATTATTATTCTTTCCCTAGTTGTGAATCAACAAATATTGGGAAAATCAATTTAGAACACAGGTGTTTAGAGCATGCTTGGATATAAAAAAGTTTTTGTTTTGATTGAATTTTTTGTTTGAGTTGGTTAAATTTGAAAAAGTTGGTATGTTTAGTTGCTAGTGGGTATATTAAAATAATGTTAAAATAAAATGGTTAAAATTAAATTGATGTAAAAGTAGGAGAGAGAAGATTTGATGTGATGGTTAGTTAATTATGTGAGTTGATGAATAGTGAATTAAGGTTGATATTGTGTATAAGAATGATTGATTGATATTATTTAATTATATTGATAATATTGATGATAGTGAGCGTGAGTTAAAGTTGAGTTAAAAAAAGTGATTGAGTTAAAAATGATTGGATTTTTTGGGTTGAATTTGTATCCAAGCTTGCTCTTAATGGTTACTATATAAGTGTAACAAAACAATATAATATCTTATGTGGTTTGGTTATTATTTTGAGTCATGATATAGAAGTGTTAAATTATTTCTTGATCTCGTATCCATCGATAAGAAGTAAAAAAAATAATATTTTTTTTGGTTGAATTATATTTGAATTTTTATATAAAGAGTAATAGGATTTAAATTAACAATTTACATTATGTATACAGAGAGATTTTGGGAAAGTCATGAAATTTTAAAATAATTATATACACATTTATCGATTATTAAACCATATATATTACTAAAAATAAAATAAAAATATATAAATTATTTTTATTATTATTGTTGTTAAATAGCATTTTACTTTTATAACTATATTCATGTGAATCAGATACTTTTTGCTCACCTTATGATGTATTCATGTATTTGTTTTATGAGAAACTAAATAATAATTAGTTCATGATATGACAAATTAAAAAAGTATGTTATTTATAAAGAAAAATAGGCCCACATATCATTTTCATGTTCTTTACTTGGAATCAAGTCCGAAGACTCTCCCACGAACATGAAATGTTTAGTGTGACAACAACCCTCTCACTAGGACAAGGAAATTCAAGTGTAAAAACATCAGAGTCAACACGTTGTGTAGTCTTTTGTGGTATATCATCTTACACACTCACTATGCCATTGTTTTCCCTCAATTCATATTTTGACTAATCACTCTTGGACTTATGCTCACTCGTATAGTCTTCCTCTAAAAGTCGAGCATTGATACTTCCCACTACCCTATGATCTTTAGGACTATAAAAGTAACCACCCCTCGTTTCCTTGCGGTAACCTACAAATAGCTGCACCACTATTCTAAGTTCCAAATTATCAGTTCATTTGTCCAACACATGTGCTGGGCAGCCACAAATCTGAATGTGGTTGAAGCTGGGCTTGCGCTCAGACCACAGTTCTATCGGAGCTTTCAGAATCGATTTGGAAGGCACAAAGTCAAGAAGGTGCGCTGCCGTTTCCAAGGCGTAACCCCAAAATGAGGTAGGTAATGACACGTAGCTCATCATCAATCTCACCATTTTCAACCGAGTCCTATTCCTTCTTTTTACTACGCCATTCTGCTGGAGAGTACAAGGCGCAACCAGTTTGGATGTAATCCCATTCTCCAATAAGTATTGCCTTATTACTAAGGTATTCACCACCACGATTAGATTGACTTAGATACTTTTCCCTTGACGGTTCTCCATTTCTACCTTGCATTCTTTGAACTTGTCAAAGACTTGCGGCGCATCAAGTAAATGTATTCATATCTCGAGTAATTGTCCATGAAAGTAACAAAATATTCAAAGCCACCTCTAGCTTGAATAGACATAAGCCCACAAAAATTAGAGTGAATCAATTCTAACACATAATTGGGCATATTACCCTTAGCCTTAAAAGGCCTAGAAGTCATCTTGACTTCCAAATAGGATTCCAAACTAGAATGATTCGACTTGGAAAGAATCCAAGAAGTCATTATTAACCCGTCTTTGGATCCTCCTTAGATTGACATGACCAAATCTTAGGAGTCAAAGATACGTTTGATTCGATTGAGAAGACTCCTTTCTCTTTTTCAATGATGAAGATGCATTTGTTTCAGTCACATTATTATATGCACAAGTAATAGTATAAAGATTGTTAACCAATATGCCAAAACTGATAAAAGAGTTATTTCTCATAATAACAGCATTGTAATTAAAATAACTTAATATCCATCCAAAAACAACTTAAGAACTGATATTAAATTCTTTCAAAACTTAGCACATATAAAATTTTCTTTAATCGGATCGGAATGCTGGTCAATATGACCGAGTTAGCTGGTCAACTAGGTCTGACCATCCAGGTCAACGGAATGATCTAGCCAAGTGGTCACCTCTAACTGTTATTAGAAATCCTGCCTTGGGTTTTTTTTAAATGGAAAATCCAGTGATGGCTTCTAATCATCGTTCGAGTATCTTAATTGCCGACAACATCGTAAAATAGAAACCTTTGTTAGCATATTGCTGGCGGTTGGGAGTATCTACTGATGGTTAACAAATACCATTGGATTTTTCAAAAAAAAAAATAAAAATGATTTTATACATATATTGTCATAAAAATCCAATGGTCAGTCAGATCTCGCTAGTTAAAATTTAAGGTGCATTTTGATTGGAAATTTATAAACATTGCTAATTTTAACAAGTTTCAAGGTACTGTATAATGAAACTTTGCTAATAAATGGAGTTGAGAGTTTTGAAATAGTATGTGATTTGTTGAAATCCGTCGTCGGGAGTGATAGCGAGCTGCAGAAATCTGCAACCCTTGGTTTTAATCGAATTAAAATTGTTTAGATCAAAAGTGATTGGAATATCATGTTAAAATAAAAAAGGTTGTATATGAGGTTCAAAAAAAATATTTTTCTTTTGAACGCGTTCATTCAATTTTTTTTTTTTTTTTTTTTTTTNGCGCATGTGCAGCATGCTTAATTTATTTTATTTTTTTGTTTTAAAATAATTATTTATTTAACTCTTTTCTTTTTGTTTTTAAATTTTATTTATTTTTTATCTATATCACACTTTTCAATACATATAAATTTAAATTTTATCTATATCACACTTCCCAATATGTATCAATAATTTACATTTCCTATCCCCATTTTTTGCCTATAAATATACTTCAGTTTGCCACTTCTCTTGCACCAAAAAATTTCTCACTTCTCTTACACCGAAAAATTTAGCAACTATTCATTTGCCTAAAAAAATGGATCCGAATAATAGGCAAAATTTTCAACATTTCTCAAGTTCTAATCCTACCAATCCAGATGAAATTCCATTCTTCCAAAATTCACAACCTCCGCCGAATTTACCATTTTCACAAACTCCTTATCCTGCACAATTTTTCCCACTATTCCTGTCAAATTTTCTTTTTATGCAACAACAATCCCAAAATTATCCAAATTCCACCAATATTCAATATTCACAATATCCTCCACAAGTTTTATTTCAAAACCCGCCGCCTGAATATTGGCAATACATGAGTAGTCAAAATTCGGTGCAATCTTCTCCGCAACAATCGAGTCAATCTTCTAGATCCCAAATGAGGAAAGAACTCGATACTCAAACTTACGTTCCAGAAACACAATTCCAGGATCGTGAAGCAACTATTAATGTTGAAATCCCAAAAAACACACTTTGCTGCTGAAGGTCGAAAAAAACGTCCACAATGGACAAAGGAAGAGGATGTGCAATTGGCAAAAGCTTATGTGACAATAAGTGACGATCCAATTACCGGTAATGATCAGAAGACCGAAGCGTTTTGGGTACGTGTTGCAAATTATTATAACAAAAATACACCTTCTGATTATATTCACAGAAATGCTAATATAATAAGATCTCACTGGCATAATATGATTCAAAAAAAGGTGTATCAATTCAATGAGTGTTATAATAGTATTTACAGTGTTTATCGAAGTGGTTGTAGTGATGAGGATATATTAAGTCGGGCTTACGAAAAATATCGTATTGAGAATGATGGTGGAGCCTTCAATCTTGAGGATATATGGAGAGTCCTTATAGATCGTCCTATGTACACCACACAGTGTTCTAATGATATTTTTGTTGAGAGAAAAAAGACGAGAATTGATGAGTCTGGTGCCAGCAATACTTCATCAAAGGGGGATGCAAGCATTGACTTAGATGATATTCATAAAGTGGCTCGCCCCATCGGCCAGAAGGCAGCCAAACGAAAGACCAAGGGCAAAGGCAAATCTAACTTGATGAGATGGCCACAGAATACAACAACATGGTTAAGCATCTTGCTGAGTTAACTAGCTTGAAAAAAGCTGAAGTTGAAGTTAAAAAAAGCTACTCTTGAGGAGAAGAAGCAGAGAAATCGTCGGAAAGACTATGATATTTTAATGAAGGACACAAGCCACATGACCCAAGAGCAACGTATTTCTCATGAAAAAATGTGTCAAGTAATTCAAGAGAGATGGAACTTTAAGACGTATTATCTGTTTTAATCATCTTTGTCTTTCTGTATGTTTTGATTGGAGGTTTTCAACTTTTAGCTCGTATTTCATTTAAGTGGTTCTTGTTCTTGTTAAATTGTTAGTCAATCTTTCATTAAATTGTTCTTGTTCGAAATTAAATTTGTAGTATGTCTTTCCACTTAAAGTGTTCTTTGTATTTGACAGATGTATTGTCTGTTAAACAATATGACTAATCAACTTGCTGGTCAAAATACATATCAGAAGAAAAAATCTGATTCTGAAAAGTTAATCGAATTCATGGCACAAATAAGCATGTCAGAAGATAAGGCATGAGCTGTGGCACGTTTATCAATTTGATAACTTAATTAATGTGTCAGAAAATAAATTATGGTCATGAATGATAACTATATGCAATAGTTGTGTATAATAATCAAGTTGCTGGTCAAAATAAACATGTCAGAAGATAAGATATGGCTATCAAAAGTTAATTGATTTGCTGGCACAAATTGGCATGTCAGAAGATAAGACATGAGTTGTGGCACGTTTATCAATTTGATAACTCAATTAATGTGTCAGAAAATAAACTATGGGTCATGAATGACAACTATATGCAATAGTTGTCTATTATAATCAATTTGCTGGTCAAAATAAATATGTCGGATGATAAAATATGACTATCAAAAGTTAATCGATTTGCTGGCACAAAATAAACATGTCAGAAGATAAGCCATGGGCTGTGGCACGCTTATCAATTTGATAACTCAACTAATGGTCAATATACATATACATTGATGTCTATATATTCAAAGCAAACTCACATATTTTTTCACATTCTTCAAATCATAGTTACGCACTTTAAATTCAATTAGAATCCTCAAAAAATGTCTCGAAATTCATATCGATCCGAGTCTAATTCATCATCATCCACCGATAGTGAAGATGGTGATGACACTAACAATTTAGAAGTTGAAATGATTTCACCAATCGTTCAACGAAGCCACGAGTTACTTCAAGCATACCAACATGAAATTGAAGTTCGAGAAATCGAGAAGATGCGCATAACAGACTTGTAAGTGATTATTTCTCTGACCATCCAGTCTACTCGGATCATATATTTCGTAGGCGTTTTCGTTTGCGAAGAAAATTATTCCTTCGAATTGTGAATGCACTTCATACATGATCATCATATTTCCAGCAAAACATTGATGCAGTAGGAAGACAAAGTTTGTCACCACTTCAAATATGCACAACAACTATTCGTCAGTTGGCTTATGGAGTCCCAGCTGATCACCTTGATGAGCATTTACGTATGGGTGAGTACTCTACTATCAAATGTCTTTTTAAATTTTGTGAAAGTGTGGTTGAAATTTTCGGTGATGAATATTTAAGAAGACCGTACAATAACGATGTTCAAAGACTCCTCCAAATGCATGAAAAAAATCATGGTTTTCCGGGTATGCTTGGAAGCCTTGATTGTATGCATTGGGAATGGAAAAATTGTCCAGTTGCTTGGAAATGTCAATTCACAAGAGGGCATGAGTCTCCTACGATTGTCCTTGAAGCGGTTGCTTCACACGATTTATGGATATGACATGCCTTTTTTGGTGTTGCAGGATCACGTAACGATATCAATGTATTGTATGAATCTCCTCTATTTAATAATGTGTTGCAAGGAAATGCACCAAACATTCATTTTACTGTCAACGGCACACAATATGCAAATGGGTATTATCTTACAAATGGAATATATCCAGAATGGGCTACGTTCGTAAAGTCTTTTCCTTGCCCGTCAGATCCTAAAAGAAAGTTATTTAAAGAAAATCAAGAAGCTGCTCGAAAGGATGTGGAAAGAGCATTTGGGGTGCTCAGTCTCAATGTGCAATTATAAGAGGTCCTGCTCGATTTTGGCATAGAAGAAAACTGAAATCTGTTATGTTGACATGCATTATTCTACACAATATGATTGTTGAAAATGAAGGAGTTGTAGTAACACATTGGTACAATACGAGGATGAAGATCCCGCACAACTTGTCCAAGGTTCAAACCGAAAATTTCAAAATTATATCCGTAGAAGTTCAGAGATACGAGATAACACAGTACATCATCAACTTCGTGCCGATTTAGTTGAGCATATTTGGACTCATTTTAGCCATTAAAAAATTATTTTTTTGTAATTGTACTATTTATTCTTGTGTAATCTTAATTTAAGTTATTTTGGTCTTGTAGTTTTCTTTTATTTTCATGCATTTAAAATTTATTATTATAATTTAAAAATATTAAATTTTTATTTTTGTGGAGAATAGATTATTAAAATTTATATTGAATGAATGGATATAATGGGTCACATATTTGTATTTAAATGAATGTATAGAGATGTGCGTGTGTGTTTAAATGGAGAGAGAATTAATGAAAAAATGATGTGAATGAGAAAGAATGTAACTTTTTGATTGAATGAATGGAAAAAAAATTAAAGCAATGTAGATGACCTAAGAGCATCTACAATGCTTTGGGTTCAATCCCAAAAAATTACATGCCACATAGGAAATAGACCCAGTCCAAAAAAATATATTCTCCAATGCAAATAAAAGTAGACTGGTTCCTGTTGATGTTGCAGCCAGAAAAAGAGACCGGTCTCCCCTTAAGTCCATTTTAGACCCAAGTAGAGACCTAGTCTCTTTGCATTGCAGTGAATTTTATTTATTTTACATAATTTTATTCACGTTATCTAAAACTTGGATTTATTTACTTGCCACATAGACAAGACTAGACCCAATGCATGGAAGATGCTCTAAGAAGGTAGGCAAGAAAGCGAGAGCGGCCGCCGCCCCAACACGCACTCCACGTCCACGCCCTCATCAGCAAAGGTAGATATCTATCTATCTAATCTAACAACCAAAAAATCTCATGACAAAAAACCCAAATCACCAAACCCCTCATTTTAGTTCAGATGAGTTGAGACTTGAGACTAGGCCACACCACCCCTACCACCTTCCCTTCTCCACCTATACATACACATTACACACATTTTTTTCTCTATCTGTCTCTCTATTTGTATATATATATACTCACACGAACCGGCCATCTCCTTCTCAATTGCTGCGCATCAAACTAGTTTGAATCAACAGTACACATATAAAAACACATTCCAAAAACGAATAAAAGAAGCACAAGAAAAGAACAACTCAGCTATGCTTTCCTTCTCCTCCATTCAACCAACCACCACCAATCCACCGCTGTCATCCGCCGCCGCCGCCGCCAAAACCTCCATCATTCCCCATCAATTTTCCTTCTCCCCCTCCCCGCCGCGACTTCACCATTCCCGCGGCGGTCTCCCCCGCCGCCGCCTCCTCCGCGTCCGCGCAATCGACGCCGCCCAGCCGTACGACCACGAGGCTCACCTCGTCGCCCGCTTCGCCCAGTCCACCAAGCTCAAAATCGCCATCATCGGCTTCGGGAACTTCGGCCAATTCCTCGCCCGGGCTTTCGTCCGGCAGGGCCACACCGTCTTCGCCCACTCCCGATCCGACCACCACGCCGCCGCGCAGTCGATCGGCGCCGCCTTCTTCCCAGATCTGCACGACCTCTGCGAGCATCACCCTGACGTCATCCTCATCTGCACCTCAATCATCTCCACGGAGAAGGTCCTCAGATCTATCCCTCTCCAGCGCCTCCGCCGGAACACACTCTTCGTGGACGTCCTCTCCGTGAAGGAATTCCCCAAAAACATCTTCCTCCAGATCCTCCCTTCACACTTCGACATTCTCTGCACTCACCCAATGTTCGGTCCCGAGAGCGGCAAGAACAGCTGGCACAACCTTCCCTTTGTGTTCGACAGAGTACGAATTGGGAACGAGGACTCGAGGATCAACAGGGCCGATACCTTTCTCGACATCTTTAAAAAGGAGGGCTGCACCATGGTAGAAATGAGTTGCGCAGAGCACGACAAATACGCGGCTGGCTCCCAATTTATTACTCACACCATGGGCAGAATACTCGAGAAGCTGGAGCTTGAAAGCACGCCTATTAACACCAAAGGTTACGAGACGCTGTTGAAATTAGTGGAGAATACAGCTAGCGACAGCTTTGATCTCTACTACGGGCTGTTTATGTACAATGAGAATGCCATGGAGCAGCTCGAGAGGCTGAATCTGGCGTTTGAGGAGCTGAAGAAGGAGCTGTTTGGGCATCTGCACGAGGTTCTGAGAAAACAGTTGTTCGGGAAGTCTGAGGAGGGTGGGCCACGAAGAAGGCCAGTGCTTGGTAAATTGCCCAAGAATGGGACGCCATTGTTGCCATCGCCATCCGAGACAACTCTGAACAACAAGGCCAATTAGGGCACGACGACTTCTGTTGTAATAGGTAAGAAATGAATGGGATTCCTTTTTTAAGGCCTTTGTTGTTGAATGGATCTGATAATAGTTTTGTTGTGTTTTTTTTCTTTTTTTGTTGTTGGAAGAGATGATTGAGAAAGGGATTCCTTCTGTTACGTTTTGAAGGAATGAAATGCTTGGGATCTGTTTGATGAAATAATGTAACACAGATATTTGTTGTGTAACATAAAATAAAAGCCTGCCTTGGGAGGATTGTTCGGCTCCAACCATTAGCATTTTCTTTGATTATTTGATGGTGGAAAGGAATGTAAGGGTGGAGCCATGTATTTGTTCTCGTCTATGTTATGCATTAAACACTTGAGTTGTGTAGTGGTCAAGTGAATATATGATGTTTGTGGTTGATGTCAAACTTACTAGAGAGTAAAAACTTAGTTTCTATTACATGGCCTACATATGTATGGTTTTGAGAAACAATTTTGAGAGAAGATTATGGTTTCGTCTTCTTAGCGAGTCTATATTCTATATCTGTTTTGACGAATTGAAATTCGAAGGAAGTGGAAAATGATGATAAAAGCGAAAGGGAATGCTTTCTGAATTTATTTCTCTTTTTAATTACTATTTCAACTTCTCCATTGTTTGCTTAGTAATTGGATAATAAAATTCCCCACTATAGCAATATTGCCTCCGAGATGGCTCACTTTGAAAGTATGTACTGCTTTTGTGTAATTTGCTAGCAGCCTTGAATAGTTTTACAACATTGGACAGCAGAGCAGTAGACAGTGAAATATTTATTCCTTACGATTGTGCAATTTTGGCAGTCAAATTTTGGTCAACTATTCACAGCATATGTGTTACAGGTAGATGGGGAGAGATCCTGTCCCATATGCTCTGTCCTTGCAGCTGTAGGCTAGCATATACAAAGCAAATGGTTGGGACTTCTTATACGGGATACATAATTAGTTGTCCGTTACATAAGGTTGTGGGTTTTGTCTTCAGAATTTTGCTGGTTTGAGCAAACTCCGAATTCTATATATATAATTGTTGGCAGAGCAATAAATAAAACCTCTATATGTTTTCATTCTTTTTTTCAACTAGTATGTGGCCCGTGCGATGCACGGGTAAATAATATTAAATAATAATTATAAATTGACGATATAGGTATATAAAATGTATTCGTTTAGAATTTTGAGTGCCACTTTGAGATTTTTTAAGATTTGAGACTTTTAAGATGATCAAATTTTAGAGGAATACTATGAAATCTTAAGTGTGAATGTGAGATTTATAGTGAAATTTTGTATAATGTTTTTTTCTTTTAAATCATAACTAATATTAAAAAGACCTAACAAATCTTGATCTCAAATAAGTTAAATATTTAAGGATATTTGAAGATTTTTTTAATTTTTATATATCAAAGATGAACTGCTTTTGTTACCAAAAAATGTGGACGCAATTTTGAATGTACATCCCGTCCAAATATCAGTTTTATTCTAAAATAAAAATTGCACATGGTTTTATCCAATTTACACACTTTTTTTTAAAGAAAAAATTATTCAATAAGATTGGAAGAATTGGTTAAGAATTATACAACTATTTGTTTCCAAAATTTGTATCCAATTTGTACGGTTTTTGAGTTAATTTGTATTTAGAATTGTTTTCTTAAATAATTGACACATTTTTTGCATAAGAATCTCCAAATTTGTTACCAAAAAATATATGATTTAAATTTTTTTGTAGAAAAATTAAAATATGATACGAAAAAAATGGAATTCAAATTTTGCCATTAGAATCTCCAAATTAGTTACCAAAAAATTAGGATTCAGATTTTGTTACTAAAGATTCACATGTATTTTTTTTTAACTTTCCATTAATAGTAAGTCAAACATTATATTTATTTGGTCAAACTTTATATTAATGTATTTTTCCAACAACCTCTTTATATATATATAGATATAGATTAATGTGGAACAGTTGCATTATTTTTTATAAAGTGTAATAATGATTTAAACTAATTTATTATATAATAATTACTACTAATACTAACAAATTATAAATTTACATTAAATAGTATGTGAAAGTTACATACTTATAAACAATTGTATTGCAATTTCTTTTTTCTTTAAGATACTTATTCTACAATGCATGTTATTTTTTCGTTTTATCAAGCGATATTTTTCTAATTTTAGTTAATTGACATGAGTGTCATAGTTAAACTCCTTAAAATTACATAAATAATTATTATAACAATAATAAAAATAATTGTAATGCTTTTCTATGTAATGCTTTTATTATTGTTATAATAATTATTTATGTAATTTTAAGGAGTTTAACTATGACACTCATGTCAATTAACTAAAATTAGAAAAAAATAATTGTAATGTTTTTCTAACTAATTAATTGTATGGTCTCTCTAAATTACAAAATTACATTGTCTATCAAAATTCATGTCATCCATATAAAGATTCACATGCAAGTTAAATAATTTATATTTATATTGTATATCTGTATATAGTAAAAAAATTTAAAATTGTAATATATCCATTATCTAATTTAAAATTATAAATATTGTACATATACACATAATTTTAAATTTATATTTGTCTCTGTGCATGTGCACATGGACGAATAATAGTATATTAGTAATATTGATTTCATTTAGCAAAGTAACAGTGAAAAACTCTTGACACTTCCGTTGTGACACCTTTTCTTAAGTTTTCTCAGCAGGTTGAACTCATAATAATAAGCTCTCTACTAAAAGTCTGCGTAGGCGCTAGGCAGTGTTGGGATCTCGGAAAAACTTAAGAACAGTTAAAAAAAAAATTTTATATTTATAAGCTACCATACCTATATAAATTATAAAAAAAGAAAAAGAAAGAAAGAATCTGTGAGCATGTTTGTTTATAGAAACTTTTGGTTTTTTGTGTGAATTTTTTGATTTGGTTTGGTTAATTTAAAAAAGGTGGTATGGTTAGTTGTTAGTTGGTATATTAAAATAATATTTAAAATAAAAATAATTAAAATTGATTTGATGTAAAAGTAGGAAAGAGATGATTTGAAGTGATTGTTAGTTAAAAATAATGTGAGTAGATGATTAGTGAATTAAGGTTGATATGGTGTGTATGAATTATTGATTGATTGATATAATTATATTGATAATATTGATGATAATAGAGTTGAGTTAAAAAAAAATGGTTGAGTTAAAATATTGGAAATTTTTTTAAAATTTCTTATAAATAAACATGCTATGTGCCTTCGTATCTACACAAATGCCACGAATTTGGGCATCAGTTACATTCATTTTAAATTCACTTCAACAAAAACGTTCTATGAAACTCTAGTTAAGACAATAATGCTAAGGAGCCAACTGTTGACTCCGTTATGGAGCCAACAACCAATGGAACAGCTCCACGTGGGACTGTCCCACATCCTTAGCATTACTGCTAGTTAAGAATACCAAATACCTACTCATCAAACAGTCATATATTTAAAAGCTACCATATTAAACCACATAAAGAACTTACAAATGAGTAAATTAACTTATATATTTATTAAAACAGTATTACCGGAAGAGGGTTCTTACAAGACCATCCAATTTCCAACCCTTTTTATGTACATGTACACTTATATGCTACCATTCGCCGCCATTTGCAATTTGCAATAATCGAGAAGAACGGATATCAGTGACACCCACCCCCATCTGCAGGCTCGATCGAGCTCAAGAGGCCATTGCCTCTAAGCTGCATACAATATTCTTCAGCATCCTCTTGGCCACAAACTATGACTACCGACATGCCATTGTAGTGCGCTTCTTGCATAATATTCACAGCATTGTCGAGTGTCATTCCATCAATAACCTTCATAAGTACCTGTACTACATACTCCCTTTTATTCTGGTCGTCATTATGCAGCAGAACCCTGTAAGGTGGGGACATTTTCCTCGACTTCCTGGAATAAAAACAACAGAAAATGAAGATACTTTTGAGAGTTTTCATGCTAACAGCAGTTTTAACCAATTCAACTTTCAATCTCCTCACACTAATTCCAGTAACTAAAAATTTTAGCTCCAAGAAGTCTGAGAAGANAGCATGTTGGCTGTACCAGATACAAATCAACTCAAAAAGACAACGAAGCAAATGTTGTAGTAGGTTGTACGAATTTAAGGTAAAATAATAAGCAGAGTAGTTCCTATCTTTTTAATTCAAAATTGAACAAAAATTAACTACAGTAGAGGACTTCTTCTACCTTCTAAATACTAACAACAACAACAACAAACCCAGTATATTCCCAACAGGTTGGGGTCTGGGGGGTCAGTTGTACGCAGACCTTACCCTTGTAATTATACAAGGAGGCTGTTTCCGTAGCGACCCAAGGTGCATTGCGCCGTTTGATATATATATTTTTTTTTCTAGAAACTTCACTAATAGAAGAAGCACTAGAATTTAATTGAGCCATTTTGATCTAGTCCATTATTAACACTATGCCAGGAGAATTGTCAACAATGACTCTGCCAGCTCCATTTGCAATGTTTGGTGTTGATATAGGACTGAACAGTAACATAATGGGTTAATAATGCACATAATTACTCCCAACGGATGCTAGTTTTGTTATACTGGTTATTCTTCTATTTTTCTTCTCTAGTTTAATAGACTATCAACTTTCCAGCTGAAGTAAAGTGAATAGATAACCACGAATACAAATTACAATATAGAGAAAGTGAAGTCAACAAGGAAACACGTAAAACATTTGAGAGATATAAACAGCAGTAACTCCAACTACTGGCAATGGTAATAAGACGACATTGTAGGTAAGCTAAACAAGAGTGCAATTAATGATAGGTTATAAAGCAAGGCCGAGCACATTGCAAATCTTGAATCGAAGAAACATTGATGTCAGTTCACTTGTTTACTAGTAAGATCAGCGTTCTAGTCTCTGTGTTTTATGACAGTATGATAATATTATACTACTAAACGATCAAAACCGCTTACAAAGTAAGACTATAGTCCACAGACTTCTCTCTTGGATGCGTCATTAAACTTTAAATAATGATTTATCCTCCACCTATTGTGCAGACAGAGTCTAAAGCAGTGAATATTCCACTGTTTTGGCTTTACTATCTGAAAGCGAATTGCTAATATTGGGGTAACCATCTCAAGTGTCAACTGTTTTTGGCCTAATCTGCTGATACTGGGGCAACCATCTCAGGTGTGACCTCCAGAGAGAAATGTAAGAAAAACATTAGTTCTTTTTTTTTTTCCTTTTCTTTTCTTTTTGGTTGCTATGTCTCTATTTACTTGTGGGTTCCCTAATATTTTCTTTTTCATTAATTTTCAATGATTTATTTTTTATCACTGCACATCAATCTTAATGTGGGTGACCAATATTATTTATGTATTGCTCTTCAATAGCCACACTTAATTCAAAATATTGATACGAAGAATCCAACATAATATTGTACCAAGGGCACAAGAAATCAATGCAGTTGACCAGGATAAATGTACTCATTCTTTTGCTTCCCGTAGCACAAAAACATTAACTGATACTCTTACTGGCATGACCTATTAATATAGAATGCGTATTTTACCAATGTCTTACTGGCATGCTTAAAGATAATATTTGAAGGGAAATTACCAATGTCTTGTATGGAGACTAAATTCCTAATCTACACGATAATAACTTAACTTGCGGTCAAGCATTTCTACAACTTGAAGCTTGGTTTCAGAAAGAATCATTCATTTCTCTCCATCAAGCTCTAGGCAACAGGCATATAAGATTAATTATCATAATATCCAAGAAGTATGGCACAGGTACTGTTATTAAGCCGAAATCGTTCATCTAGATTTTGTACTTCTGTTAGATGCATTTTAGGTGGTTGGTGTTTTTCATTTGATTTGAAACTAAAAACTGGCATGTGGCTAAAATTGCAGCAGAATCACTAGTCAACAAAAAATAAAATGAATCCTGCAAAAACGAAGCTGAAAAAGAAAGACAACGCAACACTCATCATTATGATAGCCAAAAGTAAAAGGGAAAATAGTGAACGTTGAAAGCCACTGTGCACATCTAACAGTCACGTCAGAGCAAATAACGCAAATCACTTGAGGAAATGACACAATCGGTGTAAGTGGCAGCACAATAAAAGGTTAGTGAGGTTGTGATTTATAGTAAAGGTGAACACACAATCAATTAAAAATACAAACTTTAAAAGATAATGCAAAATTTGGAAAAATAAAAGGGTTTAAACAATTTTGAAATTATGGTACAGTGAATTCATTACAACTTGGATTTGTGCAAAAAATTTAAAAACTTTATTCTATTATGACTTTATTCAGTTAAATCTCAGGCGAACAAGGAATAGGGTTCGCCTGCCCCTCCCCACATCCTGCATTCAATCTCTATAGTATTACAAATTATCCGTTTCATAACTTTTAACTCTAGGAGCGAAAGATCATGTAACTTCTTAGAGCAGAAGAATGAAAACAAAAACCAGAATCTAGTTTAGTGGGCCTCGTCGAAGATTGTCATGAAGTGAAATCACAATCATAGTAGCATTGAAATGGGAAATAATCACAAAGGGATTTCTAAAAGATCACTAGCCTAAACGCCGCGAATGAATGCAAAATAAAAGTCTATTCAATACAACATAGGTAACAAAATGAGGTAATGCATGCTGAACTAAAAATGCTAATCAAAAAGAAAAATAATCATGAGAAAATCAAAGAAATAATAAGCAAAAGATGGCGGAGTCATGTTAGTTTGCAAAATAACTATTTAGTTACAATGAGCCCTACTAGTGGTCCAAAGCAGAGGGGTTAAACAAAATCTATATATATAATACTAACAGGACATGCCAATTTTAGCAGGCATTCCCTGCTTTTGTACATACTAAAATTAATTTTTTATTTTTATTTTTCCCTTTTTAATTGCATTTGCACTAATCATTATTGCATAAATATATTTGACCATATTAATTAAGGATATACATATTATTTTTTATTCTTTGCTTCCTCATTTTTTTAGTTAAACATTTATGCTATTTATCTTATTTTTTTCTATATTGCAAATTGAATATCCATATCTTTTATGTTTTTTCAATACAACTTGATAGCTTCTTTATATATCACCCAATTTTTGCAAATAATATATCACATTAATCTTCTTTGATCGATTTTGATTTGACACCAATATTTCATATAAAATAAACTATTTAATCTACCGATACCAATTTGAAAATAATGATCAGCTTGAAGGTTTCTCATAAATAAATTACAAATACATACCAATTTGAAAATAATGATCAGCTTTTGTACATACTAAAATTAATTTTTTATTTTTATTTTTCCCTTTTTAATTGCATTTGCATTAATCATTATTGCATAATATATTTGACCATATTAATTAAGGATATACATCTTATTTTTTATTCTTTGTTTCCTCATTTTTTTAGTTAAACATTTACGCTATTTATCTTATTTTTTTCTATATTGCAAATTGAATATCCATATCTTTTATGTTTTTTCAATACAACTTGATAGCTTTTTTATATATCACCCAATTTTTGCAAATAATATATCACATTAATCTTCTTTGATCGATTTTGATTTGACACCAATATTTCATATATAAAACAAAAATTAAGTGTTTTTACATATAAAATAAACTACTTAATCTACCGATACCAATTTGAAAATAATGATCAGCTTGAAGGTTTCTCATAAATAAATTACAAATACATAAAAATCATATTTTTTAGCATAAATATTTGAAATTATATTTCCTGTATTTTTTCCACATAGGTTTGAGATATTCACTTTTAATGACATAAACATATTAGGTTATAAATAATTGTACCAAAGCAATAAATATAAAATGGATGTAAACAACTATTTCAAGCATTACCTATATGGCATCAAAAGGAGGAACTAACAAGATCTTTTTTGAACCATTTTGTCAATTACCTCAATGAAAAGAAAAATAAATATATTTGTAACATAAAATTTTACAAAATAAATAAATAAATAAGGTAATTAACTATTTTATTGAATTATTCAAATGAAAATTGTGAAATTTTGTATTTCAAACTAATATTTATACCATGGCAAAGTAGAATAAATAAATAAATAAACAAACTTGATTGCGCCATTACCAAATTAAACTAAAAGTATCCATACCTCAAATCGAACTCAGATTCACGCCCCGGTGTTGTTTTTTCTATTATTGGTTTATCTAAAACTCCGCCACCTTTGCTGTCACCAACAACTTGCATTGTCATCAAGGTGTTAAGTGTGGCCCATTGCTTCTGAAGTGGGTATATATCCCCTGACATGATAAGTAGTATGTCAAACATACACACCATTTCGAGCAAACTGCAAATTTGGTAAATCAATTGAAGAGGAAATTGGACAATATAAGTTTAAACACAAATAAAAGGTTGAAATCACAGCAAAACTGAAAAATACATATAGACACACACACACACACACGTGTCTATGCTTAATGCAAATCCAATGTAAAAGATCATATATACTCTACGATGCCCATGTACGAACTACTTGGGCAACAAGTGTTAAAAAAGGGTAAAATGGTGTGCCACGTAACAGTTATTTTACAAACAATAGGAGGTACCGAATATCATAGTTGCACCAATATATATTAGTACAACTACTGTAAGTAGATGAGATATTAACTCCCATTTTTCTCAATTCATTCTTCTATCAATAAAATCTAGCCACGTAAATCTCAAACTTATACCCGGCCCTATAACATATGAGTCAACATTACATTACTTAAGTAGTCATTTAGGATTAGATAAAGTGATGGGCTGGGCTGTTGGTTCGGAAGACTAATCTATTCCTATTTAAGTAGTAGGGTTATGTCTCTTAAATCTTTGACGAGAAGAATAAAAAAGCATTTTGCTTCGGCATGAGAAATCCTAATCTATGACACACATAGGACAGGCTTGCCTATAGATGCTTTATTGTATTCCAGTTCCTAGTTCCTTTAACTTCCAGATATTATATATTTACAGTTTTCAATTTTTCCTTCAACCCTTTGACTTCATCGGCATTACCCAACATCTAAAATTCAAGATGTATGTTCCCTTTATGGATGACTAGAAGGCGCATGTCATATATGTGTAACATTGTGAACGTGGAGTATCAAGTTAATAGAAAATGAAGAATAATTATCTTCTTGTTTCATAAGAGAATTTTTAACAAGAACCGCAAGATTCATCATTGACAAGATTAAAGATCTTGGTCCCTCAGAGAAAAATTGATTAATAGAATTACTCACTCCATATTTGTCCTAAGTTAGGTGTAATAATTTGTTATAGGTCTATCATTGTAAAGTTAAATAAATAAAACAAATATGTCAATCAAAGATCCATCATCCATGAATCAAGCCAAACCAAACTATGCATCAATAGAACTGCCTAATATTCTCCTTAGTTTCATCTTTGCTACTATCCATGATCTATGTCCCTGCATCTTTTTGTCTTCATCACCACAAAGCTTGAGGTCACAACTACATTTTGGCGTTCTCATTCATTATTGATAAATCTCTTTCAGATCTAACCATTACCCCATCCACTATTTGTTACCCTGGTAATTGTGGGTAGTCAATTCTAAAGCCAGCATAGCCAATGGATTTCAACACCTTTGATGCAAGTAAGAGCATTTGCCATTCTCTAGTTCTTTATTTATTGTTTGACGCCCTGTAAAATACAAATCCACTGAATATCCAGCTGACAACAAAGGTTGGAAGTTTAATCCTTTTAATGTTGATTCCTCAAATGTTCTATGGGGATCTAAAACCCAAAATTGTATGGGATTCACACACATAAAAAAAGAAAAAAAATAACTGACGGTATGTTTATATTTATTCTCATTTCCTCTTTTTCTGTGCGGCTTTGCAACAGAATTTATCACATTCTTTGTAATTTGAATAACCACTTATTTTGATTGGTTGTTTGCTTTTCAGTGTACTGAAAGGACACTGATTGTTTTTTCTGATATTGCTTCTGTTTATTCTCCAATGGTGGCCTGACACTCTTCTCCATGATAAGAGGAAAAGTAAGAAGGGGGAATAATATTTGTAACAAGAACCAAGGTGAAATCATCCACAACAATGTTAAAGACTGTCCAAGACTACAGTGTGGAAGAGAGAGAGAGAGAGAGAGAGAGAGAGAAAGAGTGATTCAGGATGGATTTCAAATGATTAAGTTATTGGATGGATTTTAAATCCCCAAAAAAGTAAAAAACTATAATCTCTGAGGATGGATTTGAAATACGCCAATTTGAGTTTTTAGCAAAACAAGTTTGTCGGCTAAACAAAGGATTTCGAATTCCCTTTCACATTCCTCAATTCAAACGGAACGTCAACTAATTTATAAGACTTGGTAAGCTCTTTTCCATCCAAGCTTCATCTAATTTGGGCAAGTATCTATTAAAAACTATTTAGCTTATAACTAAAGTCTATTTTAGGTTCTTAGAAATGATCCATTAGCCATCCTATTATAATCTCTCCTTAGCCCTCATAAACATTAGAGTTATTATGGGCCATAACTATGACATGGGCTCAATCTTGAGGGTAAAATCTCAGTCCATGTATGGGAATTAGCCAATTAATCTTGAGTCAATTCAGCAATAAGGATCTTTTATCTTAATGATATAAAATTTGGCATCCTCCGTAATGTTAACCAAAATCAATTAGTATAGAACTTTCTGGTTGAGGATTAACTTTGTACTGGTTGCTCACGTAGTAGAAAGCAGTAAGCAGATCATAAAACCGGAATCTGAAAGTAAAGAATAGTGTTATCTCTAATTAAATGAACTGGACTTGAGCAATTTTAGCCTAAGCTATTATGAACTTCATGTTCTTTAGAAATAATTTTGCCCAAGTCATTAACTAAACAAAAACCAAAAGAGTGAATGACTGCCTCAGATTTAGTAACAATTAATGGCGCGAGCATTAAGCATTGTAATAACCTTTACAAAAAGATCACAGCCTCATAACTAAAAGACAAGTAAAATCAAATGACAGTTGAGCAGAATTCGACACAGAAGATAGTGCCAGAAAAGAACATACATGATCGATAAGCAGCTCCAAATGGGCATCGGTCTTCTTCAACGAACTGAAATAATGAGAACCTAAAATATTGTGTAAAATAAATGGAGGAAAGACACAATTACTTCTACATTCTTCACCTCTGAAAATAATCAACGTTGAGAAACGTAAATACTACAATATTCTTTTGCTCATGGTTGAAAACTATCATTTGAAGGTGAGGACAACAAGGACATGCAGCTAAAACTACAACCCATATCCAAATATCTGAAACAACCAAAATACGTCATATTTCACTATAATTTGACAAGAATAACAAAAGAAAATAATTTTAAAAAAAACTTTGACCAACAGTCAAATGCTTGAGTTAATTTAGAGTTATCGACCTCTTCCAGTCTTCCAGATTGTTGTGAAACGTAATGCTCCTTGGCAGCACAAGTTATAAAGGTGAGTAGTAACAAGATTTTGGATTCTAACCAAAACCATATATAGTACAAGAGATAAAGATAGATTAAAAGCATAATCTACTCAAATTAGGAAAGTTTCTTTCTGTATAGCACAGAGCACTCCTAATATATCTTGTTTATAAACTCAAGAAACAAAAATAACTCAGCACAGCCATATAATCTTGATGATGCAATCAGGAAGTGAGGCCAAAGAAACAAACCTGCCACCAAAAGATTTCACAATCCAACCACCAGAAAACAGGCTATGTATGTAACCACAGAAGAAGGTGGATTGAACTAATCCAGCCACAGAAGCATTCCACCCGGATTGATGTGACATTGGAATTCTAGAAATACTAAAATTCACCTAGGTAATGCAGGAAAGTTAGATCACATACAGCTTCAGACCCCAAAATTATATTTGAGGGCGTTCATATAAATAAAAGAAGAGATAACCCCAAGCAACAAGTTGTTTTAACTCCATATTAAACATACTGTTCTATCTCATTGATAAATTAGACATAACACGATTCATGTATGGTAAGTGAATAAGATTCATATCCAGATTAACAAAAAGGCTAATAACAGCTACCCATATAATAAGCAGTACAGGAAAAGATGTATAAAATATCATATTTCACCACATTTCATTAAACGCACATATATACCACGCACATATATACCTTTCATTCATTAACGTATATTGGGCACTAAGTACATTTGTGCTGTGATTCAGCAAAGAATTTACATGCTTTCTTGAGCTTTCACAAGTACGAATCTACAGCTAGCGATGAGTGATATGACACGACGTGACACAGTTACAAGCAAATCACAACCAGAAATGATACGACTAAAGCACCACTAGACACAGGAGATGAAATTGTTAAATTAATTAAAACTATAACACTAATTGGATGAAACAGGATGAATAAGACCAAAAGACAAAACTACTCTATGATGATTCAAGTTGCCACGATGTTCTCAAAGAGGCGAATACAATGAGAAATCAAGCAGCGGATCGACTTCATACAACTTTTATAATCAACATAAACTTATAATACATAAATACTGGGAAATTTAAATTTTACGCCTGATTTTCCAGTCCGTTCTAATTACAAGAAAAGGCCAATTTTTGTTACCTTATCCGTGTTGCAGATAACAAAGACGATCGACGTCCGACCAGCGAGCTCATAACCTTGAGGAAGATTCTTCCATGGCGGCCAATCAAAATCGAAACCCTCTCCTTTGCTCTCCTTTTCCATTAACTGACACTTAACTTTCGGCACAAGCAGTATCTCTTTCGTCCGCCCTCCATCCTCTCTCTCCGCCTCCTTTATGCTGCAACAATCTCCAAATTTCAAGTTGTGCTTCAATTGAAACCCCTTCGAAGGCTGGTGCTCGGCATAAGTTCTGAACGTTGAGGGTTCCCAAATGTTTACCCCACATGAAAAACTGAAGAAATTGTTGAGGGGTTTCGAGATTATTCGAGCCATCATTTATTTTCGTTGCGCATTTAAGTAAAGGGGCCAGAGAGCATAATGTGGAATATGAGTGCAGTTGGTGAGTGTGTGTATGTGTGTTCAAAGAGAAGAAGACGAATAGCAACTCCAGGACGAAACTCCGCCACAAATGTCGAAGTGAGGGCGTGCTTGGATATTAAAATTTGATTTATTTTTTTTAATATTTTTTTTTTTTTTTTTTTTTTTTATAATGTCATCTCNTATTGTTCGATTTTCTATGGTTTGGACTTAGAATTTAATACTCAATTTAATGCAAATAATAATAATAATGCATCAACTAAATAAACTTGTTATTTATGGAAATAAAGCCGAGCTCCATAAATGCTAAAAATATTCAAGGCGTTACAGAAGATATCATTTAATCAATTGTGAGATTTTACATTATTTCAAAAAATCGAGATTTTTTAACAAATCTTCATTAGAGAATCATGCTCACTTTTTACACATTATAAGTAGGACATGATTCGGTACACTCACCAACATACACCACACATCTTGCAAATTAGCACATAAACTTACCAACATACACGTTTTCAAGATGACTTACGCATGAGGTCGCATTAAAGATATTAGAAGGATGAACCGCGTTTTGCTCAAACTGTGAATTGTACGTATGTTTCAAAGAACAAATGAATCTCAATCATACAAGAATGTTCTTGAGATTATATTACATGATCAAGAGGCATGTGTATTAAAATTGCTATCTTACATTCGTATTATATTTGTAATTATTGTTCTTGCATAAATCCGTGATTTGTAGGGTGGTCGTATTACTGGCATAATTTGTCCGCTCACCATTGCTAATTTTGTCAACGAATTTGAGGAATGTGCGATTTATGCTATGAAAAAACTATCAAGTTGAGAGCAACGTTGGCCTGTACAAGTCAACTAATGGCAAATAACGAATCATCATTCATGGTCAAACTAAGCATTATAGGTATATTGCCAATTTTCTCACCTATCGCTTCGACTTTTGGAGCTTTCTCACTTTGTCTGACATCGATAATGTTGATGAATCTATCTTATTCGGTAAGTCAATTTGTTCAATTTGTGTAATGTATCGTGATTAAAATTACTCAAATTAGTTCGAATAATAAGAACTTTTTTCTTATAATCTAACTTTTTATATGTAATTGGATTGGTTGTTGAGATTCAACCAATTCAAATAAAGCAAGTGAAGGGAGGTCCAACTCAAATGATTGTGTTCTCCCTCATGGATTTGGAGTAAGTGTTTTATTTTTATTTTTTTATTTCTTTGCCAATATATATGTATATAATCAATAAATACTAATTTGCATATACTTTTAAATTGTTCTTAAAGGGAAACATGAAGACATGTACGGTATGGGGGCATTATGTTTACCAACTGATTAAATTTGAGATGCATTATTGTTCGCTAATTATTTTCGCTATCCGCAAGTGTACGACGTAGCTATAGGTAGTGGCGAGCAAGGTCGTATTCCACAGAGATTGTAGTTAAATTAATTAAGTACTAAAATAATGACGATTTTTAATATTATCTAGACTCGTGAATTGAATGGTGATTACAAACTAAGAATTAAACTAAAAACTAATTTATCTAAAAAAAAATAAAAAATAAAAGAAGATACAAAAGATAGATTATAGGCTAAGCGTTCCTCGGAATTAATTCATGAAACGTTTATATTCAAACAAACCTTATTTAATTTTATCAATCGTAGAGATAATCGCTAAATTGATTTCAAACATTTCTCTCGAACAAGTTAAATCGTAGATATTAATTGTTATCTTTCTCCTCTCGGTCTCAAGATGAACAACTAACTCCCATAAATTCATAGGATTTCCGTTCTCTCGCAAGGTCCTATCAACCTCTCGGTCTGTATATTCTCTTACGTTATAAATCTCCCAATTCTAACAATCAATTATCTCCCTTTGGTCGCAAATCGATCACAAATATGCATTCATAGTGGCTATCTACTCACACAATAATAATAAGCAAAAGAAATTCATAAACGAAAGATAAACCGGAATGAAATAAATAAAAACTAAATCATAAAATCAATCCGACTACTAACAAATCCTAAAATCTAAAATAACATGTTTTCAAAATAAGAAAAATAGATATAAACATTGAGTTCGAAAGAGGAAAAGGAAAAAAAAGAAAAAACTTATTCGGCTCCGTCGAACCTTTCTTCCCGGCTTTCTCCCTTCGTGTTTCTAGCCTCCAAAGGTCTCCAAAATATGTCCAAGACTCCTAAAAAACGTGTCCATATATATAGTCGGGGTCGAATCCTAGTCGAAATAGGTCGAAAATACCGAAAAAATAGGAAAAACGCGTAAAACTGGATTATGTTGCGCCCAGGGTCACGAGTCGTGTGACAAAGTCGAGAGGACGATTTAAGACCCGTCGGAGTGACACGAGCCGTGTCTCGGGCTCACACGACCCGTGTGTCGTAAACGTGGCTGAAACTCCATTTTCGCGGCTGTTCTCAGATCTTGACGTGTTTTACGGGTTCTCAGGCATCACCCGGTGGTCTTACATGGCGTCCAGGCGGTCGGAAGACGTCACGGTGGCCGGCCACGCGAGCTCCGGGGAAATTCCGGCCGCGAGCTTCTTCTCCGGTGATAACTCGATCTTCAGACGAATTCTCCGGCGTAAATGATGGCGGCGGCGGTCAGCATGGCTCAGGCGTCGATTTGGTGCGGCGGGGATGTGGTGTGAGGATGAACGGCGAAGCTTCAAATGGCAGCAATGGCAGAAAACGTACACGAGGAGGAGGAGAGAGGAAGACAACCTACTCAAATGACCATTATATCCCCAACTTCAATGCCTTTTGGGCTTAAATGAAGTGTTCCTTTGGGCTGGGAATCTGTTTTCTTATTGGGCTCACACACTAGCTTGTTGACATGGGTTGTCACGGGCTTATTGTTCCTTCTCCCAGCAAGCCTTGTAAATGGGATAGTTCCAATGCATCGTGTGCACACCGCTTTCGACTCCAATAATTAATTCGACTCTATATCTTGTGACAACTCAAATAAAACACCTTCGTCATAGCTTAATAATATTAATTAAATAAATAATTAATTATATAATAATTAATTAAACAATAACTAATTATATATTAAACTACGACGAAACGGACACGAAAATCAGTATAAAATGCACGTAAATATGACGCATGTCAATTATTCTGAAGAATGATCACCATTTGTGCTTAATGAAATGTTCAATAATTTATATATTTCATTTTTTTTATATTTATTAATGTCATGATCATTCATTTATTATACAGTTTGAATACAAAATTTTCTTTTAAAAAGCACAGAAATATTAAAGCCTCCGTGCATCGCACAGGTACTGCACTAGTTTATTAAAAAAAGATTCATATATATATATATATATAAAGGCGTTATAAAATTGTAGTACAAATGTGAAAGAGATAATGTCCTTTCTACGATGGTGCTTACACAAGGAAAATCCATATAATTTCCAATCACTTTTTACCAGTCACTTTTTTAAAACAGAATCTAACTCAAATTTAACTCAAGCTCACTATCCTCATATTATCTATATAATAAATAATGGGTCAAAATCTTTCTCACCCCGTTATATTTCTATTTTTTCTTTTACACACCATCCCCTCAAATAACTTCTTTTACACCCCAAAAGTCACGAAATGCTATGCAATATTACACTCGCATGTCCAAATGAACTAGCGCATATCCAACCAGACGCATAATTTATGACTATGCGAAAACATTTCGCATATTTAGGGATCGCATATCCAAATCAAACGCATAATTACAAATATGCGAAAATATTTCGCATTTTTAAGAATCGCATATCCAAATCGAATGCAGCAAATTTACGATGATTATGCGCCTTCTTTTCACAGGGCTATATCGACCTTGCAAATTTATGACTATGCGAAACTTTTTCGCATATAATTCGCATAATTTGTTGACTTTGCATTTTTTAGTAATTGCATATCCAAGTCAATCGCATAATTTACTAATATGCGAAAAACTTTCGCATATATTCAGTATAACGCCGGATATTGATAAATATGCGACATTTTTTCGCTCGCATATTTAAGAATTGCATAACCAAATCGAATAAAGCATAATTTATTTGATGATTATGCGCCATTTTTTCGCAGGGCCGTATCGACCTTGTAATTTTTACGACTATTCGGAATTTGTTAGCATATCTGTCGCATAAGTTACGCACCTCATTAATTGACTACTTTTTCACAGGTGAGGATTTTGTCTCTGCATTTATCATGCAGGCAAAAAAACAGTGATCTCTAACAATTTAACGTCTGCACTCTGCACCATTCATCTACTGCATTTTTCTGTTTCTTTCGTTTTAATTCTTTTTGTTGTTCACTTATTTGAATGGCTAGCAACCGTGTTAAAGTACTCATGCACAATGGTGGTTCGTTTTCCGAGGGTTCATATCTTGGTGGAGTGGCAGAGCTGATGAGAATGAATTACGACAGACAATTGTATTCTGAAGTAGTTTCTCGTGCTCAAGTATTATTAAAGGCCAATCCTTGTAATTTTGAGTACATATTGTGGACAGTATTTTATGGAAAGGAACGAGCTGTGAAAATGAAAATCGAATCCAATGACGATATCTTAGAGCTGATTGAAGTACAAGAAAATCTCAACATTTACTTGGAGTTGGAGAAGCGAGTAAATGTAGGGATTCCGGGGACGGCGCAACAAAGCTTAACGCAAATGATAGCGTCCCAAGGTGTATTTCCTAGTTCTTTTGGTGTTGATAGTTCTGCATTTTCCCACGAGGCCCCATATTCATATCAAGCAGGCCTTAGTTCATTTACACATACTGGATATCCTCGGGGCGCTGATGATCAAACAGCGGGTTGTTCGAACCAACCAGGTCATTCTCGCGATAGTGAAAATAATGATGACCAAGAGGTCAATGAGAAGCAAATGTTCAAGCTTTTCAGGGCGTGGTATTGCGAGCATATTGAAGAGCTAAGATTAATTACCGACCATATTAAGGCTGAAAGTCTTGCATATATGAATCCAGGTAGCACACGGCAATCAGACGTTGAGAAACAAATGTGGTCCCTTCCTATGCCGCCCACGACAACTGGATCAGATAGACAACCCA